TTACTTTGAATCTTTGCATATAAATTTGCTTCAAAGAAGCCATCTATCATGTATCTCTTCTCAAGTACATGCTTGATAAATACATGATATTTTAAAGTTTGAATAGTATTGTGTATATTTCCTTATTTTTCATGTAGGTTTAAATATAAGGATCACTATACATATACTAATAAAAGCCTAGGTGGCCCTTGTGCCCTCACACATGACGTTATCACAAGATGGCTGCCACAAGATGGCCATGTGCACTGTAGAGGCGGGGCCCAGTGGTTGCTTTCTGGTGAGGCCTGAGGGTCCTGCAGTTCTGAGGAAGCCTGTCCCACTGTCTCCACCACCTTGAGTGGAGGAGGAGGGTCCCAACAGAGGAGGCAGGTCGTGACAGGCGAGGGCAGTTGTGGGCAATCAGGCAGGCAGGGAAGGGCAGTTGTGAGCGATTGGGCTGGCAGAGGAGGGTAGTTGGGGGTGACCGAGCCTGCGGGGGAGGGCATTTGGGAGTAAGCTGGCCCAAAGAACAGACTCTAGTTGGGCAAGAATGAAAGCAAACCATTTAGGAGGTCTTGTTAAGAGTCCAGGAGGTATAAAGATGTGACTAGGTAGATAGTGCTAGAGATTGTTTGCCATACGTACAAAGAGTGAACTATGTTTCCTAAAAGTGTACACAGAGGCAAAGCATTTGTTCACATTATATATTGCAAAGAGTTTAGGAAGGTGTGATCTCACGTATAAGTGATATTAATATGTATAATTAGCCTGGTTAAATATCTTGAGTTAAAATATTTCCAATTTAATCCATATGCAGTTTTTACATTAATTATTTTACCCACTTAAGGATTTCAAAACATCATAGGAAAGAAAACAATACATAGAACTGGGTTTTTGTTAAATTATAAGAACTTACAGACGGATACATGAGCGGTTTCCTGGACCAGATCAAAAATAATGTTATTATGTTCTCTGATTAGTAGGACTTCATAAATGTTCTCAATATGATCAAATTTGGAGTTACTGTGCTATTCATTAAGATATGCTTTTATCTATTTTTGTATTAGAGAATTGAATAACAGATCAAAATGTAAAGTTATCATTTTTTATGAGACTTTAATCAAATGATTGCCATTAGCTATCTAACTCCATAAAAAGAATTATTTTGTTTTCCCTAGACAGTTAGTTCACTAGAAATTGTATTACTCCACCAATAAATCTTACTTCTAGGGTAAGGTCAGAAAAAGAGTTTAATGTAAAAATTATCTGAGTGATTCTCTTTGAAAATTTTAGTAAGTTAAATGGAAACTGTATTCAGCAAATATTTACTAAGCAGTTCCTACGTGTCAGATTTTGCCTAGGGTCTAAAGGATGTTAGAATGGTTATGATCATAGGCCTGCATAAGACAATTTGGAAGAGTTTCACATATAATAATAGAATATTACATCAATACTTATTAAATTAATAATGTAGTTACTCGCCGAAACCGGTTTGGCTCAGTGGATAGAGCGTCAGTCTGTGGACTGAAAGGTCCCAGGTTCGATTCCGGTCAAGGGCATGTACATTGGTTGCGGGCACATCCCCAGTGGGGGGTGTGCAGGAGGCAGCTGGTTAATGTTTCTCTCTCATCAGTGTTTCTGGATCTCTATCCTTCTCCCTTCCTCTCTGTAAAAAAATCAATAAAATATATTAAAAAAAAATGTAGTTACTTCCCTGACATCTTTGTGAAATTTCCAGGGAGAAATACTTTGCCATTCCCTTTAGTTCAGAGCTCTGTGCTTTGCTTGAAGGGAATGCCTGAAGGTGTCAAAGAGATTACACTCTTATAGAATCAGAAACAAGACAATTACAATGATATGTACATTCATACCTTTCAGATCATATTAGTTGAGTTAAATATGAAAACAAATCAGCAATAACATAAAGTATTATTAACAGGTTCAGTTACATGTTTAAGTTTACAAGGGCTATAAAATACATTTAGAAGAAATTAATATTTATAGAATGTTCAGGAAAGGTTCACAAGAAGAAAAACAACACAGAGATGTGTCTCATAGAATTTGTATAGTGACAAAAAGGAAAGATTATATGGGGCTGGGAAACACTGACATAGTGTAGCAGAATAAATGGTTATGATGTATTTGAATGAATATACAAAAAATAGTGGGAAATGAGTATATTTAAGTCATCTTTGGATCAATACATTTTAAAATATATTTGTATTGATTTTCTGCTAGAGAAAGGAAGATGGAAAGAGAGAGAGAAACATCAATGATGACAAAATATCAGCCGCCTCCCAAATGACCCCCACCATGGGGATTGAGCCTGCAACCTTGGCATGTGTCCCGACTAGAAATCAAATAGTGACCACTAAGCAATGCTGTCCAGGCGCCATACTTTTTAAAACTCTCACCATTGCTTTTTTCACCTAGAAAAAGGAAGTCACATTACAAATCTGGCAGAGCTGCTTTGAAGTGATTTGGTCAAAGAATATAACTCAGTCTTGACCCTTAATGGCCACATTTAATGCTGCCTACTACTACTTTGATATTTATTTTGCCTGCTGCTGTCACCCTACCAATTCAAACCTTTGTCAGCTCAGACTCTTTCTTTAAGCTGCACCACTAGTATAACAGGTAGAATGATTTGATAAATCCTTTGCTAACTCAATCAGGTAGAGGTGAGCTTTCCCTTTTCTTTGTACTAGTCATATGACATAACAATTTACATACATTTATTTTTCTTTTGCTGAAATAGATTTTAAAAACAATTTTGACCCCTAGCTTTTACTAATACAACATTACTTTATTCCTTAAAATAATAAAATCCATTACTGACTATGTTTTCATAAAGTCATAACCTGTATCTACAAAGATAAAAACTTTTTTTGAGTCATTTCATTTTACCATCAGGCTCTTTTCTTCCATTACTCAGCCTTTAATAATATGAATTTTGATGAGAAAATACCACATCTATCATTATAAACATCTTTATTATAATGACATTTTGATTAGATTTCAAGATGATTATATTATTGGTAGACTTGTAAAGAAGTTAGATCTTATTTATGGAGAATGCTATTATGTATAAGTAAATACTCATATTTTCTGCTGCAAGATAATCCTGAAGATTGTTTACATGGATTTAAAAAAATATATTTGATGTGCAATTAGAGGCTGATTATTTTTAACAATTAATGTTTAATAAGTTTATATGTTTTGCTATTACTAATGACAACTAAGTTCTAATTAATTAATCCACATACCTCATTAAATCCCACTGATTGGGGATGTAGTTAAAACAACCAATTGTAGTTTTTTAAAAAATTAATAGACATGCATTAGAGAGGTTTTAGGTTTACACAAAAATAGAATTTCCATGTACCTTCTCCCATCCTACCACTCTTCTCTCCCTAGTTTCTCTTATTAACTGCTTCAATTAATGTAGTACTTTTGTTACATTTGATGACCACCATTTATACATTATTATTGGCTGACATCTATAGTTTACATTAGAATCCATTCTTTGTGATACTCAGTTTTATGGGTTTAGAGTGTTATGTACTCACCATTGGAGTTTTAGCAGAATAGTTTCACGGCCCTAAAAATGTTATATGTTCCATCTCTTCATTTTTTTCCCTGTTGTCTTGAAACTTTGGCAACCACAGATCTTTTTACTCTCCATAGTTTGGCCTTTTCAAAAATGCCATGTAGTTGGAATCATTCTCTATAAAACCTTTACAGACTGATAGCTTTCACTTAGTCACATAGCATTTAAGGTTCTTCCATGTCTTTGATGGCTTGATAGCTCACTTCTTTTTATTGCATATGAGTGGTTCCTCTTTCTGCTACACCCTCAGCAACAACAACAGTATCAACAAACCTAGAAACTTAGCAAAGTTCCTTCTACAATTCCTCCAACAATTTCTGACCCAAGGAAAAAATAGAGGCCCAGTTTTATTCTTTGACATATCTTTCTTTAGCTCTCTGCCATGAGCATTTCTATATTGTCTGAAAACTCAGTATGTTTACAAAAATAAATGGAAAGTAGAAATATAATTTCTCATCATAGATGGAATAGATGCCTTTGCTATTTTAAAATATTTTAATTATTTCTTTCATATATTAGAGTTTAAGTTCATCCCTGACAGATGGTTATAACATAATGAGTGAAAAACATTAGCAATTTAGCATATTTAAGCTACCGTGGAAAATTAGCGACTTCGTGAAAATTGAAAAACTCATTTCCTAATGCGATTTAGATTTAGGCAAGGCTGCAAAGATTTTCATTAAATAATATAAAAACAAATTACAGGGATAGAAAGAAAACTCAGGGACAGTAAACAACATCACATTAAAATATGATTTCACAATGTTAACTATTTAAAGACCAAATGCTTTCAACTACACTTTTTCTTGTTAAAACAAAAACAAAAGGTGTTTATTATCAGCTAAATGATTTTAGGTAGCTATTATTATAAGCTTTTAGAATTTGACCAACATATTTGCAAAATTATAATTGACTAAAGGCCGGGAACATGAATTGGTGCATGGGTCCAGTCAGGCTGGCCCACCCTGATTGGGTCTGATCAGATAGGCTGGCCCGAGGGAGGGGCCGATGGCTGTTGGCCAGCTGGCCCCACCCCCTGGTCAAACTTCTGGTGGAGGGGGCAATTTGCATATTACATTATATAGGATATTAAATGACTTTTGAAGTTGAGATTTAAAGTCAGTATATTTTAGTGGTGTAATAATTCCGGTACTGAATGTACAATTGTTTCTTCAGCATTTTCATCATAAAGTTTTTGTCTTTCCCTTTACACTTGCAATAAATCTTGGTGTGCTAATCCAGATGCACATAGAAATGAGTAGCAGAGGAAAGCAGTGAGGAATGTTTTAAACGTTAATGTAATCTTTACTGAGACAATTGTCAAGTGTAAAGTCTTTGTTTTAGTTTGGTTACTGGCTTCTTTCTTGTGACTTAGAATTTTTCTTTTTCTTTTTTCTGTTTCTCTCTACAGAAAGCTGACCTCGCAGTTGCTCCACTGGCTATTACCTACGTTCGAGAGAAGGTCATCGACTTTTCCAAGCCCTTTATGACACTTGGAATAAGTATTTTGTACCGCAAGCCCAACGGTACAAACCCAGGAGTCTTCTCCTTCCTGAATCCTCTCTCCCCTGATATCTGGATGTATATTCTGCTGGCTTACTTGGGTGTCAGTTGTGTGCTCTTTGTCATAGCCAGGTAACATGCTCACTTTTGTGATTTTTTTGGCAATTGTTACCTCCTTTTCCTAACTAATAATTGTCAAAAGTCACAATAAGTTTTCTTTTTATTTCCCAATGGAGTGCTGAAGAATAATGAACTTTAAAATGTCATATAACTTATTAAGATGTCCTAGGATATTTTGGGGCAGAAAGAATGCTGGTTGTGTCAATAAGCTATAATTGTGGTAGAGTTTACTCTTTTAAGTCCTAATCACCAGGATATAAAAGTAATTTCTTCATTTTTGAAGATTTCTCTTGAATCAGACAGCAAAATATTAGTATGTTTTACTAATTTAAATTATTAAATCATTCATAAAAAATGGTAAAATTCAAAAGGAAGCTTTTTGGTCTTTTCAATCCACGATATAGCTTAGTTGAGGTGGCTTTTGCCTCTCTATTGTTATTTTGGAGGTGGAAATTTAATCATTTCTCATTTATACTTATCTCACTATCACATTTTTAACAACTAGATAATTTCAATATGATTTAGTTTTCTTTTGCCTTCATTAAGAACACAAAACCATCCCTCAGGACTCAGAACAATATGAACTTGAAATGAACTTGAAAGTCACATATTCATTATAAACATTGAATTTTTATATTTTAGTGCATATCAGAAAAATAGCTCTAAATCCAACATGAGTTAGAAATCTACTATAGATCTTTCATGTTGATAAGTTTGATAATGTAAAACTATAAATGTGTTTTCCTCTATCATTAAAATTAAATATGTATTTTTATACATATTTTATTTATTATTTTACAAAAAGGAATGGAGAGGGATAGTGAGAAACATCAATGAGAGAGAAACATCGATCAGCTGCCTCCTGCACACCTCCTTCTGGGGATGCACCCTCAACCAAGCTATACACCCTTGACCAGAATCGAACCTGGACCTTTTGGTCCGCAGGCTGACACTCTTATCCACTGAACCAAACAGGTTTCAGCTAAATATGTATTTTTAAGTTAACATTAAATAGGTACTGCCAATTAAGTTAACACTAAGGATATTTATCTTTCTTTGAACTTATTAATTTTACAATGAAGCGATATCAATTTTTCCAGCAGTAAAAAACATTTTGTTTACACAAGTAAAAAGAAAATAAAATTAGTTATAGAAGTAGCATAATATTCTTATATATTTTTACATTTCTTTTCAATGGCTAAAGATCACTGAAACCTGTCTACAGGACAACAACAACAAAAAATAAATACTGCAAAGTATAACAAAAAACAAAAAACAATGTATAGAAAAAATCTGCAAGTAACACCTGTTTCTATTATATATGAAATAGTTATATATTCTATATTAAATAATAAATAATATTAGACATACTTGGTAAAATAATATATAAATAAAAATAAACTATAGATTTTTCTTAGAATATTTTGTTCAATTCTCAATATTAAATACTTTGAAGATTGCCAAGTTTTTGTAAATGCAGTAAAATATTAGATTAAAAGAAAATTTCTTAGAGTCCTTTTAAATTCTAAACTAAACTTCCAAACCAAATGAATTTGTATAATTAAAATCCATTCTGACATGGTTCTGAATTCTTGCTACAATGGAAGAAGTTCATGATGTGCAAATAAAGAAAAAATTCCTATTTTAAATTTTAGAACTTAATTACCTTTTTAGAAGGTAATTTAGAACTTGACCTTGAATGAAATTTATAAAATACCTAAATATTTACCTAAATAAGTAAAAATTTACCTATTTTTATGAATGCCATATATAAATATATATATTTTTAAAAGTATAAAATTTAAAATATATTTAAATATTTAAAAATTACTTGTATCATATTTCAGTGGAGAGAAATGCACAATGATAAAAAAATAAAGCATTCTGCAAATTGTTAGTTATCATTAGAATGCCAGATTTTAGGTTTATTGAATCATCTGCTATATCAGAGTATTAACAATACTAATTTTATGATAAATTAAGAACTGATCAAATTGTTAGAATTTATGTTTTTAAAACATGGATTTAAAAGTTGATTGTGACTGATAACTTTTTAAAATTTCCCATCACTATTATTATTTTATATGGAAAAGATAATCCTAAAAAATACTTAACACATGCTCTAAATTTTTAAATCAGTATTGAAGATAGATGGTTTTGTTTTTCTGGGTATGGTTTTATAATCTATGTTCCCTTGCAAACTGTTGCATTATTGATTATAGCATAATGGCATAACCAGCATGCTTATCTGAAGAAGCTAAATAAGTTTAGGAGTAAAGATGAACCTGGGATACTGCGTTCTAGACATAGAATGGCCTTATCCAGGTGTCCTAGCAATAGCTCTTAGCTGGCAGAGGATTAGAAAGAAATCTTGCCCATGATGGGCTTGTAGCTATTGTATTTGCCCCTTAACACTTCCCTCTTTCTATTCTTTTTTTCTTTGAGCTAGGTATATTAGTATAAAAATGTCAGTTAATCATATAAAAACTGGTCAGGGAAACCACCCTTTACACTAACAATGAGAGGTATTTTTCACCTTGCTTCAAATATTTCCTTTAAGAAAGAACAGATGCTATTGATACAATAGAAACTATTTGTACGGTGAGTCAATTTAAATTCCCATTAATAGTAGCAATTTTTAAAATATTTTAGCTATAATTGTCGGTAAGGCAAACAGAACTGTTCTGAAATACAACATGTAAATCTTGGTTTATGGTTCTTAGTAGTTTGTTATATGGAGTTGAATAACTAAGGACCATTCTTAAAATAAGGGAATAATAGTACACTAGTTTCCCTCCAACAGGATTGATGTAACCTTAATAATTATCCAATGAGTATATGAGAACATTGCATATTTTATTCTAAGGTTGGAATTTAAAAAAAAAAAAAAAAGCAAATAAACTCTGGAAAAGAAAAATAATACTATATTAAATTTTGTAGTAAAGATATCATTACAGTAAAGATGTTCTAAACATAGTGTTTTTTTTTGATGGTTTAACCAAGTTCAGAAAACCGTGTCCAAAGTGCTTGCATTAACAGCTTTGATCTTGGCTCCTGACTAATGTGCAATAGTTTTTATATTCCTGTCACAATGATGGGTGACATTTAATGTACGGTGAAGGGCAACAATGAATTATTATGCACTTGGAAATGGATTACTGTTTTGGTGGGATGTTCTATGTTAAACTAATCTGCTGTCAAAAAGACAATCATCACCCTGAAATGAAATGCCATGCCAATTTTGTTGTGTGCCTTTGTCACCAACTTGCCCACCTTTAACTGTAACACCATTTCAGTTTTACCTTTCCATATGTAATTTTAAATGTATGTTACTTTTATTTCTTTAGCCTTTTTTTTCTTGTTGTTAACTAAATCACAGGGAAGCTTATCTGCTGTGCCTCTTTCCATTTGGCCATTTCTCTGAAATTTAATGAAAATTTGTTTTAAATCATACTATTTTGCTAACATGCCTTTTACACATATGAAAGTGATTGTTAACATTGACTACATTAACAAATATTTCGATTATGGACCTAAAAGTCAACATTGATTAAAAAGAAATTCACTTTGAAAAATGTTTATGCAAAGGATAAGATTACTTCTACCTTGAGAGTTTTTTTCCACAATTGTTATTTGGCAAACCCATTGCAGAATGATTTACTAAAAGTATTATTACTACTTTTAGTAATTTCTGTGATTACAAAGTAGACAAAGAGTCACTAATGCAGAACATAATTCTTAGCTGGTGTAATCAGGAGAGCCAAACTAATTGAAACTAAGGTGTTCAGTGACTTCTTTTCAGGTCTAGTGAATATGGAATTGGAATAATTGAGGCAGTTGAGATTTCAACTGAAATTATATATATAGGAGAAAGAAGAGAATCTCAATTATCATAAGAGAAGATGCACTTATTTTTTGCATGTCAATTTTATATTTTATTAAACATTTGAAAGATTTGAGGAAAATTAGTAAAAATGCAACTTAAAATTAAAGTGCTTTTTTCTATAATCTATATTCTTCTAAAGATAATTGTACTTGAGTATCTTTTAAAAATATGCACCTCTTTTCAAATTTTTTTCACAAATATTTTTTATTATTAGGACAAACTTAAAGGCAAAAGCAGAAGTTTGATAGCCCATTTTTATTTTTCATATTCTGTGGATAAAATACTTAACTCTTTCTTTCCCTGCCTCCATCACCAAATTTATTTCAGATTTCTAAAAGCGAAAAAGCTGCCTGTTTAGTCATTACAAATGGATTCACCCACTCAATAAATATATTGACCAATCAGTTTCTGGGAACTATAGTCACCCTATGATCATTTGTTTAAATTTAAAAGTCTTACAATGTCTAGCTCAGTAAATCACAAATACTAATTTTAATAAATTACAATAGCTCAGTAAGTCACAGATACTAATTTTAATAAGTTACAGTCTATAGATTCACATTAGGAAATTCAACAATGCTAAAAACTTGAATGATTATTATATTATATTTGCTACCAAAATATGGCACCTCTATTTTTAAGGAATCCTTTAAGGAACATGTAATTATGTTTTACACACACATTTCCTAATAAGAAACAGTAGTTTTGTAAGTAATTAATTTTTTATTTGAAAAAGTGATATAGTAGCTTCTCTGACAGTTGCTGCCAGGTCTCTTATATTTCTAATTAAGGTTGAAAACGAATATGACAAAAACAATACTGTGAATTAGTCGTTTTACTTCCTTTTTTAGTTCTTCCTTCTTTAAAATTTTATTTATTTATTTATTTATTTATTTATTCATTTATTTTGCTATAGGGGGAAAAATTATTTGAGGTGATTCTTAAGAACCAATAAGATTTTGAGAACCCAGCATTTTTCACCAAGTGATCTGCTTATTCTCCCATATTTTGCAATATCTCCATAGCTACAGAACACTGAATTGTGCGGAAGCCATCTCCCAGGCTTGTTTTGTCTGCGCTAATTATGAAAACAAACCTGCACTTCCGTTTTTCTGTAACCGCCAGG